CGCCGCCGCCGCCGCCCCTTCTCCCCCGCCGGCCCGCGGTCGCCCAGCCGCTCGCCCCCGGCCGGAGCCAGCCCGTCCCCGCGGTCCCTTGGCCGCTTTCATTTTGTTGTGATAAACCTCGGGAAAAGCCAATTCTCCCAGGAAGCTTTATTTTTGCAGAAAACACCCCAAAAAACCAAAACCTCAACCCCCCCCCTGCACTAGGGCTGCTTCTTCCCGGAGCGCATCCCTCCGGAGAGCATCCCGCGGGCTGGCGGGGGGGGGACAAGGGGACAAGGCAGGCCCTGGGTGCCCTTGTCCTGGGACGGGAGGCGCGTTCCGTGCCCATCGGGGAGAGGGGAGGCACTGACCTTTGCAGCAGCGCGATCCAGAGCAGGGAGTAGCGCTGGCAGCAGCAGCCGGCAGCACCGGCGTGAGCCATGGTCCGCACCCCGGCACCCCCGGCCGCATGGGCACCCAACGCCCACCGGCACCCGTTGAGGCTCGGTGACCGCCGTCCCTCACGGCCGGGCTCCCCGCCGCTCCCCGGGGCCGCCCAAGTGCAGACTCAGGGAAGAGGGTGCCCGGAGCAGCGGGTGAGAGCGAGAGGAGGACGCCAGGCAGCGGAGAGCGGAGGGGAGGAAGGCTCCACGGCATGGTCCGACTGTCCTGATTGCCACCATCCTCACCCAGCCCACGCCGACACGTTCCCAGAGCCAGACTGCTGCTGTCATCCTGGCGTATTCAAATGCCTCCATTACTCATCAAGAACAAAGTAGGACTATCTAGTAAATGAAAAACCACCGCATGGCACTGTCCCCTGCCTGTTATTTATGGCTGCTTCCTTTCCCACTTTTCAAAGGCTACCGTCCATGGCTGCAGCAAATCATAAATCCTCCAGCTCGTGCAAGGCTGCTGCGGATCGGGGGAGAAGGCAGGCACTGGGGCTGCAGCCACCGGTCAGCATTTTGGGGGAAAAACCAGCGCGAAGGTAAATATCCCTGATTAACAAGAACACTCCGGGTTTCCTGGCTCCAAAGGGGAAGGACACAGGTCTCAGAGCGGGAGACGGGCAGGTCCCACCCGAGGCAGCAGGCACCAGTCTCGCCTCCTCCAGTAAGGATTCCCAGATGGACCGTCCCTCCGGGCAGCACCACCGCGCACGGAGCCGAGAAATGAGTCAAAATTCACAGGTTCTCTGCCCAGCTCCAACACCAGCTCCCTGCACATCCTCCCGTGTGCCTCTCCTCCTCAGCCAAAGGTGGGCATGACCCTCTCACCTCCAAAGGATCCAGAGAACGTGAAGGACCGGCAGCATTATTGCTGGGCTTGAATACCAAGGAGCACTGTCACCTAAGGCCAGCGGGCTCCTTGTCTTCCTTCCGGGGCAAACTGGTCCCCAGCACGCCCTGGGGCCGACGGCACTATCCCAACAGCCATGCTGGCAGCACAACACCCCACTCAGAGCACTTCCCTCCTCGCCTCCTCAGCGGAGAACACACAGACCCTTTCCCCGTGCAGTCTGCAAACAGTGCTCTGGATTTAGCACATTTTGCCTCGGTTTTGCCTGCCCCCCCCTCTCCCCCTTCCGCCTCCCCCACCAGCGGTTTGAAGTTTTCTCACCCTTTGTTGGCAGATGCCATGCAGAGAGAGAAGCTCGCCGTCCTCGATCTGCTTTTCAGGGCTTCTATAAAGTAGGGCACCAGCATCAGCCCAGCGTCAGGTTTTTGATACATCGTTGGAGTAGCCAAAAATACTAACAGGCAGCTTCGGTCAATCTTTTTGTCCTCAAATCTGCGTTGGCACAGGGGTCCTTTGTACGGCAGAGCAAAAAGATGGCGCGGGGCAGACTGAGATCCCGGTCAGCGATCCGTGGCCATTCCCACCTCCGAGCCGGGCCCACCAGCAGCTCCCCAGTACGTCCCACACTTGGGTCCCCAACGGGGAGCCCTGGCCCTGTGGGTTCTCCTTCCTGCAGCCACCCGGTGCTTCGCTCTCTGTATTTCCTTTAGCACCTTATCTCCCTCGCCGCGGCGAAACGCTAAGGTCAAGTTACAGTTTTACCAACCCTTTTATCTTTCTGGCGAGGCAGGAAAATACAGAACCTGAACTTTGGAACGAGCCCTCACACTTGCCAGGGGTGGAGAGCGGAGGGAAGGCAGCGGGAGAAGAGAGAATCCAGGTTCTCTCCGCAGCCCGGCGCTGGAATATTTTCTGTTGCACGTTCAGACACATTATTAGGACAATCTGGAAGGAAGTACCGAACCCAACAAGCATGTGCTCTTGGCCCGGGTTCCAGCAGGAAGCCAGATGTGCTGGGAACGGCGGCAGCTCCAGCTGACGTAGGGACCCGGCACCGCTCGGCTGCCGCCACCGACAGCGGGGAAAGAGACCGGCCGGAGCCAGCACGAGAGCTCTGTCTGCTGGGAACTGCCCAGTGGCATTTCCCCTGTCCCAAACCTGACATTCACACAATCACAGAATCGCATGGGGTTGGAAGGGACCTCTGGAGATCACTCAGTCCAACCCCCTGCCAGAGCAGAGCCACCCAGAGCAGGTTGCACAGGAACGTGTCCAGGTAGGTTTGAACGTCTCCAGAGAAGGAGACTCCACCACCTCCAGGTCCTGGATAATAATTCCAGGTGGTCGGTTGGTGCGGGGCTGGCACACGAGCCAGGCACCGGGAGATGGAGTAAGGTATGAATGAACTCGGAGCCCCCGGGTGCTCCGGGGTGTTGTCCTCCTCCCCGTTCATTGCCACACTCTCACCACGCCAAGGACACACATGTTTCCTGGAGGCACGGCGCTGCCCTGTCCCTCACCCAGCCGGCCACCCCCCGGTCCCGCTGGACTGGGGTCACTGTCTAAACCACACAAACTTCTTGGGGCTCCAGGTTTGGAACGCACCATCATCCATCACCCCCCCATGTCCCCACACTCAGTGTCCCCACGTCGCTCAGGAGCTAAAACTTCACAGAGCGGGGTCTCGGGGGCTGCGCTTCCCCCTCCCAGGGAGTGCCAGGCATGAAGAAACCGCACTCCTTGACTCAGTGTTCAGATCCTGCTGCAGTGAGCGTTACTAACACCAAAAAGAAGTCTGAATGTCCAAACCTCAGCTAATTTTATTCCAGGATATATCCCAGCTTCCTTAAAGCAAGCTCGTACCTCATTCCTCATCCGCACAAGGTTTTTTCCCTGGAGACTGTTGTTCTACAACAAGATCAGAGCTATTATTGCTGTTGCCAGCACCAGCATCCTCCCGGGGCACTGTACGTGACCCCCCTACCCTTTCTTCACGTTTGCACCCCACGGGATCCTAGCACCCCCCCAACCCCCTGTTTCAGAACGGGCTTTTGTGAAAGGAAAGACGCTGAGCTTCCTCAGAGGGCAGGTAAAATAGCACCTTCAGAGTCATTTTTCCACTTGCAGTCAGGCTCAGTGATTACTATTTGCATTATCTGTGGTCCTGTTCTCCTGGGTCACTCTTTCTCTCTTGGTCCCAGCCGGGCTGGGCTTATCCTGTTTCCTCAGGGAGGTGGCCAGACACGGCTTTGCCTCCAGCCCTCTGGCCAGTGACCTTTCCCAACTCCTGCTGTTTACCTTTTCGAGCTATTAAACCCAAGTTATCTCTCACTTTTTGTTGACTGTGAAGCCAGTGCTTTGGGACCCTGCTGCCTGTTGCTGGGAAAAAACAAATTCCCTAATAACCTTGGAGAGTTAGCGGCGGAAAGGACCACGATTAACCAGATTTATTCCAAATTTACAGCTAAAATCAAAATGCCTGTCAATGTCCTTAAAAGCACTTATTTTAGAAAATTCTGACAATCCCGTATTTCAGCATAATTAACGTTAAAAGACGTGTCATCGCACAACTGGCTTGAGGGATGCTGTGCAAGGGTTGGGGTGGGGCATGGTCATCGTTGTGGGGCTCTTCTGGGAAACCCTTCAAGGCCTGTACCACAACCTACGGCACCGCCAAGGAACGTGCAGATTTCACTGCAAACACCATTAAATTAACTCTCAGGACTCACGACATTCCTCCATCAACCCACAGATTCACACAGGAGCCTCCGAGCGTTCCCAAACTGCAGCTCAACGGCCCGGAACCTTGACCGTGGTTGTGTTTGTTTGTTTTGTCCTTCATTTTCAGCCAGAAAGGCAACCTGAAGCTGAAGGGCACAGGAATCACCCAGGCCATGAGGCTGGAGGAACAATGGCCAGATTAAAGGAAGAGATTATTAAAAGATTTCTTCACCTGCTTTATTAAAAGGGGCTCGAGGTTCACAAAACCCGAGCGGCAGCGACGCAGCAGCATTGACATCTACCACTTCTAAAAATCAGGCACCGTATCAAATAGTATTTACACTGAAGGGATATTTAACCTCTGACTAATGCTGCCTTTTACTCCGCATTTCGGAGTGGCTAGACAGTGGATCTGGACCAGGCAATTTCTTTCTGCTTGTAATTAGCTTCACTTTTCTGCTCTCCTGAACAAGCATTAGACTTTCCTCTAGGAATGTAATCCCAATCAACAGGAAACCTGTCTTTACTGAGATGCTACTCATCTTTTCTGGAGGTTTTATTTAAAACCTAACATTGCTATTAGCAGCAGATTTTTAGAAACCTTTTAGTGAGGTCCCATTCCTGCAAATATTCAATATCATTTCGGGCTATTAGTCTCGCTTCAGAGACACTACTTAACATTCAACAACAATTTGAGCCAAGAAGCATTTTGCAGGAGTCAAGTTTTGAATTTCAAATCTAAACGAGAGGGGGACCAATGGCATATGACTTTGAGCCTGACAAACACAAATACATGTTTTAGCATCTAAACTGCATTTTTATTTTGATTTGTCCTTCTGTCTAACAATATTGGCATATATAATAGCTTCAGTTTACTAGGTTATAGCTGACTTCAGAGACTGAATGATGTTATTAAACAAAACGATCTTTAAAAAACCATCCAGTCAATGAAAAGTTTATCATTGGAATAAAGTTAGGAAAATGTTCTTTTGCTGCTGCTGAACTCTTCCTTAAAAAAAAAAAATAAAAAGAAGAAAAGCTCAAAGCATTTCAAAGTTTGTTTTGATTGTGTGTATTTTATCCAGAGAAGGCACCAGGATATAAAGCTAATTTCTTTCAATTGCTATCTGCCTTCTAGCCAGATAGATTTTAGTGTCTTTTAGGGATATAAAGCACATCCTTCTCATGGGAACCTTCTTTTCAGATGGAATGAGAGATTCACACCGATGAAGTCGGTGATTTTTCTCTGGCTTTCGGAGCTGTGACTGTGGGCGATCCATCCCGGGCACACAGGGACTGTCCCTGCTCTCCTCCGCCTCCGGCATCGGACAGGGGACTGCAGCCCGTGGAAGACACGGGTATTTCTGCACTCTTGTACACAGCCTCGGAGCAGACAGGGAAATCAGGGACAAAGAGAACTCAGAAAGCTCGAAGGAATGCTGAAGGCATCGCCGGTGCCCGAGCGGGTACACGCTCCCAACCCTGGGCTCGTCTCACAGGCTGGAGCTTTCCCTTCTGGGGTGCTCTCTGCAGCCCAGCAGAAATCAGTAACATGGACACAGGAACCACGGTGCCTCCACAAACAGCCACATCCAGGCTAAAAACATCCCCAAATCCCCCAGGGGCAAGACATGTCTGTCTGCAGGGTCCGTGCAGTGACACCCGACAGAACGAGACCTCGGGAAAAGCCATCGGCACTGCAAAGCTTGCAAATCCTGAGGGCAGCCCCCAGGTACCACCCAAAATACAGGCAGGAATAATCACCACACTGTTTTTTTTTTACTGATCTCTCCATCTCTCCTTTCTGACCCGTGCTGATAACCCATTTCCAGGGATGACCCATCTGTTTCTCCCCGAGCAGCGTGTGGTGCAGCCCCACACCGAGCCCCAGTGTCCCCAAGGACACCCTCTCTGGCCAGGCTGGCTCTTACCCTTCCAGACTCCCTGACCAGGAATTAAACTTGGCCAGGCTGGTGCACTGGTGCAGCCGCATCACTTCTCCAGCTCATTTTTCAAAGTGCAAGTATCCTTACTGCGCGCTTCACACGGTGCCAGGGGCGGCTACTTCCAGAGCTGATGTAAAAATTGTTATTAAAAACTTACAAACTGTGAAAAACTCTGAAAAAAGTCCAAATCCTGGCACTGCCCTAAATTAAATGAGGGCCGCTTCCTGCTCAGGGTGCAGGGATAAGCAGAGAGCCAAGCTTGCGTGCAGTCCTTATCCACAACCCACACCTGCTGCTCCCTCCTGAAAGTTTAACTAATGAACAGTGTACAGCCCAGAGGATTTGAGATATGGAAAAGGTCAGGGTGAAGACTCGGGATTGAAGAACAGATTGAATGGGGTTCATAAATGACAGTCCCATTTTAAACCTAAAATTAATTTTTTTCAATAAATTAGGGCCAGTGAGCTTTCCTCCAGCTCAGACAATGCCGCTCTCCCTGGGCATGGGCTGCTGGCGGGAGGAGGAGGGCACGTGCG